CTGGCAGAGCATTGGCTGACAGAGAGTCACATAAAGTGAATGAAAGAGTGAACTGGGGTGAGGCCCAGGCGCAGGGAAATATGGGTGGCTCTGCAGTGGGGGTGGGCAGTCGACACCTGGGCCTGGCTCTGTGGAAGCAGGTACCAAGGGAACTTGCAGAGCCTACAGCCCTGAGTGACCACGAGGTACCAGAATGGCGGCCTGTAGTTCACAGAGAAGGACACTGCTTGCACTAGTGATGAACATTCTGAAAAGGAAATTAAGAAAACAACATCATTACAATAGCGTCAAAAAAGATAAAATACTTAGGAATATAACTAAAGAAGTATAAGTCTTGTACACTGAAAACTACAAAACATTATTGAAAGAAAAGAAAGACCTAAAAAAAGGATATTCTGTGTTCATGGATTGGAAGACTCACCACTGTTAAGATGGCAGCACTCGCCAAGCCGATCTACAGATTCAACGCAATCACCGTCAAAACTCCAACTGTCTTTTTTGCAGAAATGGAAAAGCTGATCCTAAAATTCGTATGAAAATGCAAGAGATCCTGAATAGCCAGGACAATACTGAAAAAGAAGAATTGAAACTTACCAAAAAGCTGTAATAATTAAGACAATGTGGTACCGACATAAGGATAGACATAGATCAATGGAATAGTATTGAGAGACCAGAAAATAACCCTCACATTTATAGTCAACTGATTTTGAACAAAGACAACGAGACAATTCAATAGGGTGGAAAGAATAGTGTTTTTAACAAATGATACTGAGACAACCAGATATCCACATGAAAAAGAATGAATTTGGACCCATACCTTACATTATATATAAAAATTAACTTGAAATGGATCAATGACCTAAATGTAAGAGCTAAAACTATAAAATTTTTAGAAAACACAGGGATAAATCTTTAGGATCTTGGATTTGGCAATGGTTTCTTAGATATGACATCAAAAGCACAAGTAACCAAAGAAAAAATAGATAAATTGGACTTATCAAAATTTAAAACTTTAAGCTTCAAAGGACAGTGAAAGTGAAAAACAACCCACAGAATCAGAGAAAATATTAACAAATCATATATCTTAAATAGGTCTAGCATTGAGAAATAGAAAGAAGTCTTACAACTCAACAATAAAAAGACAACACAATTTAAAAGATAGGCAAAAGATCTGAACAGACATTTCTCCAAAGATATACAAATAGCTAATAATGCTCACTATCATTAATAATTAAGGAAATGCAAATCAAAACTACAGTGAGATACCACTTCATACCCACTAGGATGGCTAGAATGTTTTTTTAAACCACAATAACAAGAGTTGGCTGGATGTAGATAAATTGAAACCCTGGTTCATTGCCAGTGGAAATAAAAAATAGTGCAGCTGCTTTGAAAAGTCTGACAGTTTCTCAAAAAGTTAAATATAGACTTAGCATGTGACCCAACAATTAGCAATTCTACTCCTAGATATATATCTAAGAGAATAGAAAACATATATTCACACGAAAACTTATATATGAGTGCTCATAGCAGCATATTCTCATAATAGCCCGAAGTGGAAACAACCCAAACATTCTTCAGCTAGTGAATGGGGACAAAGTGGACAAGAGGAAGTGAGACATCCACGCCTTGAAAAGAGGCACTACAGCATATGGATCTGAGTTGTGCCAAAGACTTGACAGGAGATGACAGGGGATGAGTTAGAGAAGACATTGTGGAATGGAGGGAAT